AGAGGATGGAGTATTGCTCTGTATTTCCTTGGATTCCCCGTCGCTGGTTGTGTTCTCAGACGCACTGGCGCTGTTCATTTCAGCGGTTTTCTGTGTTGCATCCTTGCTACTAGTACTAGTACTAGCAGGGGATCCGTCGGGTGCAGTGCTCACCTGTTCGGCCGCCCCGTGCGTACAGTTGAACTGTGCGCGGGCTCCCTGTTGAGCTGCGCTGGCGTACGAGTGTGAACCCTTGGGCTCTGTGCGCGTGCGTGCTGAGCTGGTGGATTGATTTGAGCTCTCGGGCTCCGCGCTGGGGTCCGTGTTTGTACAGCTACTACCTGAACTAGCACTCACAACAGCCTCACTACCTCCTGAATCGGGCGCACTTGAATCCGAGCTCGGTTGTGATCCAGGGAGTGCAGCCGAATTGGTGCTCTGTGTATTTGTGGGTGGTTTGTTCGTGGGCCGCTTGCTCGGACACGATCGAGCAAAGTGCTCCCCCATGCAGATCCTGCAGGTGGCCCTCTGGTCCTCGTGACGGACACGAAACTGGTGCTGGTCGGCTGTGCGGACAAATGACGGAACTTGCCGACATTCCTCCTTCAGCTCGATGGTGGCGAATCGCATACCTGTCCCTACAGTAATCCCCGACGGGGTTTGAATTTGACCATGGCGGATGTCTCCCTGGATCTGGCCAAATGCAGCCAAAGCACTGCAGATAACGGTATTCTCGATCCAGATCGGGACATCAAAGACATGGAGTTGTAGTTGTTTGGTGAATGCAGGGCGTACAGAGAAATGGCTGTCGCCGATAAAAAACCCGTGCCCCAGCAGTGCGTCAGTCTGCGTAGCAGATAATAACGTTACCTTTGTGAGGTTGGAATTGGTGATCTGGACGGAGGCGACGTCCGTGTACCCTTGGCTTGGGTAACAAGGGCCTCGGCTACATCCACTGTCTTGATACCGGCGTGACTGGTGAAAACTACGGTGTTGGCCTTCATGTCTTCTCGGGTAAGTGATTTCCATCGTGGCTCGCCATTTCGGGCAGCAGTACTAATGTTGCGCTCCATGGTTGGGGTCTGGTACCCCGGGTAAGCCTCAATCCGCAGAAATCTAGGGAAAAACTGGGAGCGCCAAAATCTGCTTCCTACTCCTACTCAACTTTTGTTGTTGTTGTTGTTGTTGTTGTTGTTGTTGTTGTTGGATGTGAAGCTGGTGTTGTTGTTGCAGCCATGGTTGTTGGTCTTTCTGTTGAATCCAGCTCTGGTTCCGGTGGGACAAATCGACCGCCACGGCTGCTCCCCACCAACACAGACCTCGAAGGAGGAGGGTCAGGGGGAGGCAGAGGTGCTGTCACCACTCGAGGCACAGCCCCATGCAAAGCATCCAGAGGCACAGACTTAGGCACACCCGAGGGCTGCACCAATGGCGGTTCCGCACGCACCTCTAAAGAGCTGCCAAGCTCAAGCCCGTCCAACACCGATGTCAGAGAGGGAACGGCAGACAGCGGCAGGAAACTATCCTGCCGTGTAGGTGATGGGTTTTTCCTAGGCCTCCCGCGTTTGGGCCTCTCAGATTGCGCACAGGGTGGAAGGATGTGAAGTGGAGTGTGTTGTTTGATACGTGCGTTCAGGTGCTGAACAGTCCTCCCAACATACCGACTAGCACAGTGTCGGCATTCGAAGTTGTAGATAACATGACTGAGGTGGAGGGTTGGTAGGACGTCCTTCCGCACCGTGAACGCACGCATTGTTGTGAAGACTGGCACAAAATGTACTGCATAATAAGTACGACGGACGATAGACTTGACTTCGTGACACACTTTGATCGATTCCTGCCCCTTCCATGGCAAACATAGATAGACGGGACAACGAGGTGGACCAATCAGCACCAATTTCGGTTTCTGCTCCATGGACAGAAACTTACGCAACAAGAATTCCGGATAGCCATTCTTCAAGAAAATAGATCGAAGAAAATCGAGCTCAGCCCGCAGTTTACTGGGCGAACAAATACGTTTCACACGGTCCACGAGGTTACGAACTAGGTTGACCTTGTATTGAGACGAACAATATGAATCGAAGGCAATGTACTGACCAGTGAACGTAGGCTTACGATACACAGAAGTCAACACTTCACAGCCAGTCTTCTCTACAAGCACGTCTAGAAATGACAACTTACTAGACTGCTCGTGCTCACAATTAAAGCGGAGGGAAGGATATGGGCTGTTGAGCACATCGAGAAACAGTTCACTGCTCTCAGCCCTGTCAAAATGAGTGAACGAATCATCAACAAAACGCACATAGAACACGGGCCAAAGCGACTCATCAATCTTGCACTCACAATAACCAACGAATATATTGGCAAGGACGGGACCAAGAGGAGATACCATCGCCACACCATCCACTTGCTTGTACATCTCATTGTTGAAAGAAAATTCGACACCAGTTGTAACTGACAGCATCAAATGACGAAACGCCGCTTCCGATACCCATGGAGTATCAACATCATCGTTACGGTACAATACATCCATACCGATGTCAACAGTCTCATCAATAGGAACATTCGTAAAGAGACTTACAACATCGAAGGAACACATGTGTGCATTAAGAGGGACCGGACTATCACGAAGCCTCGCAGCAAAGTCGAAGCTATCCTTCACAGTGCGTTTGCAATAGTAATCTTGAACAGGCTGTAGGTAGATGCACAGCCATTTCGAGATAGAGTATTGAGGGGAGGCGGTCATGGATAATATTGGTCTAACAGGGCATGTAGGTTTATGGATTTTAGGAAGGCCATAGAGTCTAGGACAAAGGGTACCAGTCGGTTTGATGCAATCGAATTCATGTTTTGATATTTGTTCTTCATTCTTTAGCTTCTTTTAAAAGATAAGTTACAAGATCCTTTTCTACTTTTTCAGTTCGATCACAGGTCTTGACCGGACCAAGTGTACGGAGCTTTGATGTGTCATTTAGGATAACGGACATCTTCTCAATGTATTCAGTTTTATTCATTAAAACAGTTGCACGACCCTTATCAGGGCGCGTGACAATAATGTCTTTGTTATTCCGTAGCTCATGCAGGGCATTGAGATGTTCGCGTTTCAATGAAAACGTTCTTCTGTCCGGTAATGCGTCAGCGTGTTCCTCGGCCTCTGCCCGGATCTTTGCAGCGCAAATGGACTGTTGTAACTCGGACACCGGTCTGAAGCATAATAACTTGCGGTAAAAGAGCTCAAACTCAGTCATGATGACTTCCTTCTTGTTTGATTTTGGTGGAATCCCGAAATCGGTTCCACAACAGAGGAGCTCTTTCTGAAGAGTGGTCAACTCTAGTGATGTCATGTTAATTATGGTGGTTTCAGGATCGATGGTGACATGTCCATATCTTTTCTGTCTTAGCCAATTGTAGGTCTTGTCATGTTCTGTGATTAGATGGATACGTTGTTTCTGGTCATTTTCCGAAAGGAGCATAGAGAATCTCAAGAATCATTGTCATGGCATGGTTATCTTTTGCAGTTACAAGTTTTGGAAGCTGTTTGTCAGCGCATTCATAAGCCGAATTTGTGTGTCCAGAAAGATAGTGTTATTACCCTCAAATTGTTCAAATAATGTTCTTTTGTGTAGTGTGGCAACGTTGTTGCCACTTGTGCCTAAATGTGTTTTTGTCACCTTCTTGTTTATTATTGTTATTATTATCAATCGTTCTCACTTTTTTGTTTTTGTTGCTGATACACACTTGTCACGCTTAGTTCTTACTTGTATACCCTTGTTTTCTGCACACTTTTGTGAGAAATCGCACCTCGATATTCCAGTGCTGTCATTGTATCGTGTTACCCTACCTTGATTGCTATATTATTTCCTTTGTTCTCATTTTGTTCTTTAGTACAACGGTGATTCCTGAACAGTGTTGTACGAAAACTTGTTCGAATCATCTTTTTTTCCATTGCCTTTTTCTTCTTACATATATTTTTCCTTACCTTTTAGATTGTTTCTTGCATCGTCTCCATCGCTTACATTGTTAATAAAGTAGTCCAAATATCGCTTCAGCTCGTCCTACTTATTGCCATATTAAAACTTTCTACATTATTATTATTTGAAACTCGGGTATTGAGCCAATAATAAATGTAGAAGGAAAAGGACATATGGAAACGAGTTAAGAGTTTGCTTTGTCAAATCGCCTACTGGTCTCGTCATCGTCCAGTGACAATCGACATTCTTTGTTCCGTTGGGACTGTAGCTTGTGCTCGTTTTCGTTGCGCTTGCCTTCCCCTCTTTGGTCTTTCCATAACCTTGAACCTTCCAAGTTGGAAGGCTGTCGGTTAGCGCTACGGAGATGTGTTGAAGCTAGGTGTCAGGACGTCGAATGTCTCAGTACTCTGTCAGTTTTGTGTCTAGTTGTTGCACTTTCTGACTGTATATAGTATCTAGTTACAGTGGTGGAGAGTTACTCTTAACTCGTTTCCATATGTCCTTTTCCTTTCTACAATTATTATTATTGTTATTATTATACGCAAAGCAGTGGTGGCCCGAGTACAGACCCTGAGGGATACCTCGGGCGCATTCCGTGGTACTACCTAGACCGCCATTTACTGAGACTCGCTGATAGCGATTAACCAGATAGCTGGGTGAGATCTCCCTGATGTTGCCAGGACAATTTAACACACTCAGTGTGGATTCTTACTTTCTCCAGATACTGTAAAAGGCAACCACTCGGATAAGGCGGCCACCTGTTCTGGAAGACCACTGAATCAAGGACCCAGAGCTAGGAATGCTTCAGTCAAATGACCCTGGATAAGGAGACCACCTGGTAACAAAGACCTCGGTTTCAAGGTCCCTGGAGTGGTTGTTTTAGACAGGTTTAGCTGTACTGTACTGGTCCAATCAGTTGGCTGGAACATTTTGGATAATCTTCCACTGACTGCTTTGGTGGTTAAGATATTTTTAAACAATAAATAGCACACCAGCATTTGCTGGCCATATGTTCTGTACTTAATCCAGTTATATGCTCCTTGTGCACAGTGATCTTCGGAACAACAAGCTGGCCATCGATCAACGACTCTGCGCCCTAACTCCGTCTGTGGGTGACTACGCCATACACTTATCAGCGGATGACCAAGTCCGGAACTACATATATAATGGTACAGTGCTTGAATCATTGCTTGTCGCGGCATGCAACATGTTATTATCAGGGTGGTTAGTTTAAGTGCTAAACATATAGTCATAAGCAGCAATGTGAATAGGCAACAACATACTCGCAACAATGGCATTGTTCAGAAGGTGCTCTGATAGCCAGGCGAGCTTGGGGGTTGTTCTTCAATAGACCCTTTGCACAATACCGGCCACGTGATCCGAGACGGGGCATCCTTTTCGATTTTATGCAGAGTATCAGTTGTTGAGCATGGTGGAACACCGTATTTTTCCATTTTGGAGATGGAGGAGAGAGTGTCGAGTGGTATGCCATCGATGGCTGTGGAACCCGTGGACGAACTGTCAAATGAAGATCGGTTGTGTACGGAACTGGACAGATTTCTGCTGAATGAGGGTGCGTATCTGTCTGGAAAAAGAAGGAGTTGTTGGAGCGGTAAGTGTTCTGCATTCAGTGGATATTTCGGATTACTGTAGATTGAAATAATATTTATTATTTTTTTCTCTACCTTCTCTCCTCTGTCGATGTAGAAAACACTTCTCTATGCAGAACCCTGATGCTCCTAGAACTAAGAAGGGCACCACTTCCTCGAGTGTACCTTCATCATGCCCAACATTTCATGCGTCCCAGTGGATGAGTGATGAACCTCTGTTTCCCAGAGTGAGTGCCACACCATCCTTGCTCATCTCCAACGCAGGGGCAAGTCGCCGACGACAGTGAAGAGGGAGCTGATGGAGTAGTACTAGTGAACAAGCCCGTGGATAGTGTCCATGAGTTTTACTTTGGTGGCTATGTGCATAATGTGAAAGTCTGTCATATCGTGCACACAGCCACAGCTCGAACTCAGATGACTTTCTCCGCACACCTGAGCGATTAGGCCGCGTCTCTCTCCACTTAAACAACAGCAGCTCGAGCAGCGCCAGCAAGCAGTCGATCTTCCAATAGCGAAGACAGGGATGGGTCATGCCTTTTTCTCAAGCTCCAGAGTCTCTTGGCAGGGCGTTCCATATCTTCGCAAAAGCAAGGATGAAAGTCGTCATGGACAAAGTGTTCCGAGCAAAACACTGTACACGATATCGCAGCACTGCGGCCTTCTTCTCGCCAGATAGCCAGGATTCCAGAGTGTGGAATGCCAGCATCACCAGGGAACGCATGGAAAGACAAGTGGGTTCCTTAGACTAACGTTAGGGATGATGGTTGCTGCAAACAAGAACCCAACAGTGGTCCTTGGAAGCATTTCAGGACTTCTTCCTTCAGAACTAGAAAAACTTCAAAATGAAAAAAGGCTGGGGAGTACATACATGAACATCGCGTCGGGACCGTGAAAACACAGCCTGTCACAGGAAACTTGATCACGTCCTGCAGCAAAACCATGCATGCTGGTTGCATGCCAAGTGTGCAGCGCGTGCACTATGTGCACAGCATACATGCCCCGTCTCGACCCCTCTCGCTTATTGCGCAAAGGGTCTATTCATACCGTTACGTTATGATCCAATGTTAATACTGTATCCCTTTTTGCACTGGCGATTTTGCGCACTGGCGGTGTGTTTCTTTGCCTAAAAATTCCCTGGAATTTCTTCAATGAATTGCTGAATTGACACGATTGAAGTCACCGTCAACCGGGTTGTCAAAATATTATTTTAGCAACGTTTTGTCATGAGCCGTCATGAGGTCAATGTGCAAGCTAGGCAAAGCAGCTATATATATATATATGTGGCAAGAAGGATGACGAGCTGAAGTGACATTAGGATGACTTTATTTTACATGTAAGCGATGGAGACGATGTGAAAACAACCTAAAAGGTAAGGGAAATACATGAAAGAAGAAAAAAGCGATGGAAAAAAAGATGATTCAAACAAGTTTTCGTACAACACTCTTCAGGAATCATCGTTGTACTAAAGAACAAAATGAGAACAAAGGAAATAATATAGCAATCAAGGTAGGGCAGCAGGATACAATGACAGCACAACAATTATCTAGGCGTGATTTCTCACAAAAGTGTGCAGAAAACAAGGGTATACAAGTAAGAACTAAGCGTGACAAGTGTGCATCAGCAACAAAAAAAGTGAGAACAAATGATTATAATAAAAATGATAAACAAGAAGGTGACAAAACACATTTAGGCACAAGTGGCAACAACGTTGCCACACTGCACAAACGAACATTATTTGAACAATTTTCGGGTAATAATATTATCTTTCTGGACACAGAGATTTGGTTTATGAATGCGCTGACAAACAGCTTCCAAAACGTTTAACTGCAACAGATAACCATGACGAGCACGGCACAAAACCCAAAAAAACAGAAATCAGAATAAGTACGGCAACAGTCAGTACTAGAGAAAAAATGATTGTATACTGAAGACTTACTATTACGAAACGTACGCGCACAATCTCGACTCACGCACACACCCTCACACCCACTCTAATCCTCCCTCAGCTCACCTTCTCCTTCACTACTCGAATAACACTTGCTCCATCATCCGCACCGGTTTGAATCTCTTCCTCATTTGCATCAACCTGCGTTTCACCATCACCATCAACGCCAGCCGTAGATGCCGTTGCCTTCGTGTCAGTCGCCGCCCTCTCCAATTGTTTCCTGTATGTTTACTGTTAATTCATAGGTCTGGTTGTAATCTGATGTAGATCTGCTTACTCTGTCATTAGCTGCCTTGTATTATGGATTAGTTTCTGTTGTTGTTAGATGTGAAGCTTTGTTTGAATTCTTTATTCTCACGATGGCACCATCGCCAATGAGAGATATGTTTATGAGAATGTGAGATGCTGTGGGTGGGGCTGCGGGTTATGCAGTTGGAAAGTAATTTACATCACTTTGAATTTTACAAGTATGGGAGAGGGTAAGCGCTGCAGGAGCAGATTGAGTTAATCAGCAGTGAGTAGATTTCTTGTTTGAAAGCAGGTCGGGAAGGAACGTCACGAATCCTAGCAGGGAGGGCATTGTAGTATTCTAGGGACATGTACAGTGGGGAGTCTTTACAGCGGTCGGTTCTGGTGGGAGGGAGGTGCCAAGTGCGTGTGTGTTGAAGGCTATACTGGGGCGTAACTTGAGCGGGGTTTTGAGCATGCGTATGTGTTGTGGGGCATATTGGTATTTTATGGAGTGTGCAAGAAGGATGAGCTTCACTTTGCGGGGAGAGATCATGACAGACATCTTCTTGCTGTAGTCGCCTTTTCAGTTCGATCACAGGTCATGGACAGACCAAGTGTACGGAACTTTGATGTGTTATTTAGGATGACGGACATTTTTGTCTCGAGCCGGGTTTGTGTTCTTCGTCAAAACATTAAATTAAAAACTTAAAACCTAAAGTCTCCTTTCTTCTCTGCATACTCCCTATGATCTGCTCTGTCTCTAAGCCTTAAACGTGTTATCTCTGGCTAACTGCGCCTGCTTCTAGTTGTCACCTGTGCTCTCTTAAGTTAACCTTGGGTTATTTTCGACTGTCAATTCCTTCATGCCTTTACCTTTTTTTACTCTTTCAAATAGTTGCCGTGGTTGGATATCACCCTTCATTTCACACTCATTATTTCATCATTGGCGGTCGTTAAACGAGCCATGAAATGTTGAATAAAACTGCTCAAAACCTTCAAACCAGTAAATACAAATATAAATACTTTAGATGGTGAGCCAATTAAATTATGGTTAAAAAGGAGAAGGACAAAATGTTACGAGTTCTGACTAACTGTCCACCAACGCAACCAGATCTTATACAGTCAGCGAGTGCGACAAAATGCACTGTATAAGAATTTGTTATGTTGGTGGACAGTTGGTCATAACTCGTAACATTTTGTCCGCCTCCTTTTTCACGAATACCTTACCCAGCCATATACATGCCTTCTTTTGTCTAGATTATTTTCTTATGAACCCCACTCTACCACCTCACACACAACGGAATGCGGGGTGTGCAGGCTTACTGCACAAGACTTCTTGCCAAAGAACACATATTCTGACAAACTCGCAACGGTATCCGGCTATGGATCCAACTTGCAATTGGCAACAGCGGCAGCAGCATCTGTATGCGCCAAACGGCATCAGAAACCGTATAAACCAAATATTCTGACAAACTCGCAACGGTATCCGGCTATGGATCCAACTTGCAATTGGCAACAGCGGCAGCAGCATCTGTATGCGCCAAACGGCATCAGAAACCGTATGTAGCAAGAAGCAGAGCGTCAGATAAACCGAAACCACGACACACAACAGGGACAGTAGCAGCATCTGTATGTTCTAATACGCAACAGGAATGTGTGATCCTGCAGGCCAACGTCGACCACACCTTCAACAGTGTACCATTTGTACTGTCTGCTTCATACGCTCTATCGCAAGTGCATACGCAGCACAACCCTTCCAGCGGAACCAGCAACAGCAGCAGCAGCAGTGTCTGCAGCAGTGATAGTACGATGTTCAAGAGCAACATCAAATAGGGTGGGCGTGGGTGGGTGGGCGTTGGTGGGTGGGTGGGCGGGTAGCTTTCCACTTGGCATGAAAAAAACAACGATCATCATTCTGCGCCAGCACCGATTTCCAGCAACAACTGTGCACTCGCACCCAGCAACCGTTGTAAAAATCTACAAAAGAACAAACCTGAGTTCTCTTTTATTTCACGGCGTCCAGCCAACGAGGAATGAACTTTTTTTGCGATTATTTACTTACGCACCCCCGCTCTACCACCTCACACACAACGGAATGCGGGGCGTGCAGGCTTACTGCACAGGGCGGACATAGCATAGCCGTTGCCAGTAAGAAGGGCGATTCAGCACCGGAGACAATCCAGGAACGCGGGTCTGACCCACACAGCCCGGCACCAGGTGCCCCCAAAGCAGAACTAGAACAACCTTGAGGACAGCAGCAGCAGCGATATGGCGTCAGACGCCTATCCAGGATCCTGGATCCCAACAGCACGACACCAGGTGCCACCTAGAGCACATAACACAATATACCAGAAGCAACTCGCCAGTAATTGTTCTTATATTGTGTGAAGTATACCAGAGGAACATCTCAAAACCTCAATTCTTAGACCTCCCGATGCTGGTGGACAATGCAACAAGCCACGCGACAATCATGCCATAAATAACTAAAGTCATAAAATAAAATCAATTCTCTCCTGAATGCACTCAGTAAAATTAAGCATGATCCTCAAACAATTTTAAAACAATTTGAAAGCACCACAGCATAAACCGCATAGATTGCACAGGCCATGCAAGTATGAGAAGCCTACAATTAATCCAGTATACTCAGATGGAGAGGCAAGGACTAATTTTAGTGTAAAGAAAAGGACCAAGGAACTACTTCTGAAATACACAGTACAAGTTACGCTATAATGTTCACTAACACCACAGGTCAGTGCCGTGCAATGTTATCGCATGGGCTGATTGTTAAGTGGTGTTAGTGGACATTGTAGTGCAACTTGTTGTTCCTTGGTCGTATTCTTCATTAATCTATGTTTTGTGTTTCGCAAAATGTCTTTTCACTTTTCTGTAGCGTACCACAAGAGAATCTGCTATCATAATTGTGACACATTGCGTCCAGAAGAAAATGACTGTGACGATGGCTTTATGTGTGATGGACTGATCTTGAACTACAAATGTATTGGTGAGGATTTCCTATAGGAATAGGCCTTATCTATAAATGCAGCTATGCATCTTCTTCCCGCCGTTTGGTTTTCTGGGGGAAGTCCACTTCAGCCGTACACACTGTGATCATACCAACCCTGCATAGAAGTATATAAGGCAATAAGCAGAATCAGCGAAGCGGACATTGGACGTAGTAATGAAAAAAAAGATGGATAACAGAGTTTCCTAACACGTTTTCTAAAGACATTCATTCATCAGGGAAATTACGTCTCAATAATGAAATCTAGCAATAAACAACAATATCTACATGGAATAGTACGAAATGCAGTATGTGAAAGAAAATAGGAGAAAAGAAGGTGAAGTGCAAAAAACAAGAGAAGTGTGAACTAATAACAGGGGTGGGGAGGTAAGAAATAATAACAACGTGAGACTCGGAGAGGGTGAAGTGTAAGGAGTACGCGCATAGGTGGGTGTATGTGTGTGTGTGGATGCTAAGAGAATAGTCTAAGTTTAGTGACATTTTCTAATGAAAACAGCTTCCAATACTTTAAGTTCACTAAACCTACGAGCACGGCACGAAACTGTGAAACAAGAGTCTTCAGAAACTGAACGGCACTGACTGTTGGACAACAGGTGTTTCTTTATTGTGGGTCTCTTTTCCATATCATCACCCTCACCTTGCATCTGTCCACTGTTGGCCTCAACATCTTCGTCCTGCTCTGCATCACTGCCAGTACCTTCATTGTCCGTGGTCTGCCGATCCTCATCCTCCGTCAATATTTTGCTAAGAATGGTTACCCCAACAACAAGCTTTTGCTAAGAATGGTTACCCCGTACATCTCTTGAACAAACTATTCAATGAACCTGTTGTCAATACCACGGAACAGCCCTTCGGGCCCAATCCATGCCGAGTCTTTCTGAGACCGCCATGGAAGGGTCAAGTATCACTTGATGTAGCTCGAGAAGTGAAAAAATCGTTAAACAAACTTACTTTGCTACCTATTTTACGCCAGTCTTCACTACAGCGCGTGCGTTCACGGTGAAGAAGGACGTTCTTCCTACCCAACTAATTAGCCATGTAATCTACCACTTTGAATGTCGGCATTGTGTTAGCTGATATGTAGGAAGAACCATTCAGCCCCTGAACGCACGTGTTAAACAACATGTACCGCTCTATCTATTATCAGACAGTGCTAGAGCCCTACGGCCTAGACGAGGCCGACCAACTAAGCCCTTGAAGGAGACTCACATCTGACAAACGACTCGGCACCAACTTTTACCTGAGGAGACTACACGATTAACAGACAGCCCAGATGCTAACCAATCCAAGACACATCGACCAAAGTAGTATGTACCGAGCGGGTTCTGGAGTATTTTTTTACCTTTGACCTTTGACCTCTGCCAGGTCAATGCCGACCTACTGCATAATGTCAATGTCAAACAGATCCTGCAGGAGAAGACTGGGGTGTTGGCGTCCACATTTCCTGTGTCTTTTGCAGCATACAGGCTGAGACTCATCACTGTAGAGTCCACTACTGCATGCGTTTTATTTGTACAATACATGGCAGGCGTACACGGTGTGCCTCGCAGGACTGCGAGATGCTGCAGAAGACCAGGTTCGACCTTTCTGGACCGCCATTCACCGACGGTGGGCTACACGATGCTGGAGGAACTAGATTCCAGTGAAAACCCAAGATTCCTTTGCTCCTGGACGCTCCGACGTGTTGTGATATCTGCCAGGTGCGCAGTAACTAGTATTTTCATCGCTATAACGAAGACGACGCCGATCGGCAAACTCTTGCTCACAGCCATCACCAGCCTCTCAAAACCATCACTTGGCATCCCCCAGAGGTATAGGAGAAAGCCAAAACAGCTCTCAACAAAGAAAAGATAAGGACCATGGAAAGAGAGCATGTCAAAAAGAAGACGAACAGTATGAAGTTCAAATGGGTTTGAACACTCGTACCACCAACTATACCACTTTCAATAAATCATGACGCCATTTTGTTTTAACACGCATACGGTCCATTGGAATAATCCGCCTGTTCGCATCAATTTTTATACAGTTGTACATGTTCTACAAGTACAAGTACATGTACAAGTAGATGCACCAGGAAGTCGAAGGTTTACGACTCCCTTGATAATATGTCCAGTCCACTACGAGTACAATCAGTGACGGTTAGCGTCCGGCAGATTCTGCCGGCAGAAAAATTGGCAGAATTCGGTACTTTTTCTGGTAAGTTTCATGCATGTTTGGTATGTGGATAAAAAATGGAGCAGAATTCGAGGAATTGCCCGCCATAAGGTTTGTATGGTTCTGCCAATTTCACTGCTTTTCGAGCAGAATCTACCACCTTTTCGAGCAGAATCCGCCGGTCCCTAATGACGGTCGTAGCTAGGTCGGACGGTGCGTTGACCTCGTTGAACTTTTGCTACTACAGTACAACGCCCTCTACATAAAATTCCCCTGTTATTTTGCACAGAACCATCATGTACATTAGCAGCATATGTGAGCATAATGCGGCATAATTTGATAACTGTGAAAAGAAGAAGGACAAAATGTTACGAGTCATGACTAACTGTCCACCAACGTAACCAGATCTTATAAAGTCAGCAAGTGCGACAAAATGGCACGAAACTGACAAGGAGTACTGAGACATTCGGCGACCTGACACTTAGCTCCAACACTTCTCCAAGGCGCAAACCAAAAACCTTCCAACTTGGAAGGCTCAGGTTCGGAAAGGTCCAAGAGGGGATTTTCACAATTATTTAATTGGCTCACCACCGGAGTTACAATATGATGATTTTTAGCATAAAAATAGCATAATTCTGCGGTTTTTTAAGCAATGCGAAAAGCATAATTTCACGAAAATATTAGCATAATCCGTCAAGGCCTAATTATAGCCCAATGGTCCTTGCTTTTTTTTAAATTTTAATAGCGCCTATGATTCCTTTAAAAGTCGGTGATTGATCCGATTGGCACGAATGCGTTTTCCGTCGGAAAGTTGTCTAGTGAAGCTACCGGCAGGAAATTGGGTCAAACGATTCCAATTGAAACTATGAAGTCTCTCAATCCCTCAATGATAATTCTGATAAATCCATTGGTCCATTGAATTTAACTCGGATGGTGAGCCAATTAAATTATGGCGAAAAAAGGAGGACAAAATGTTACGAGTTATGACTAACTGTCCACCGACGTAACCAGATATTATACAGTGAGCGAGTGCGACAAAATGGCACAAAGCTGACAAGGAGTACTGAGACATTCGGCGACCTGACACCTAGCTCCAGCACTTCTCCAAGGCGCAAACAACGACCTTCCAACTGTCGCAACAGGTCGCCGAATGTCTCAGTACTCCTTGTCAGTTTTGTGCCATTTTGTCGCACTCGCTGACTGTATAATATCTGGTTACGTTGGCGGACAGTTAGTCATAACTCGTAACATTTTGTCCTCTTTTTCACTCCCATGAATTAGTTTGCCTTTTCTCCTCCCCTAAATAAACGGCTCCTTTGCTTTGCTGATTCTTGATACGCGCACACATGCTTGCTGTATTGGCATACCGCCTGCAGTGCCATCAAATGGTCCTAGTATTCAGACTACAACGGCTTTGTCTAGCTCATCCATCTATGTCAACTGGTCAGTAGTAACACAACAAGAGCTCAATGGTGTTCTACAAGGTTATCAGGTGCTATACATAGATACTGCTGGTCAGAACAAGTCGGTAGAAGTGAACGCTACAGTTACCTCAGCCGTTCTGACTAACCTCACTGCAGACACAAACAGAGGGTACCAGGTTCAAGTCATGTTTGGAAGCGGAAGGAATTGTACCAGCCGTGCTGCGACCCACTGTTAATTGGGAACTCGTGGCCTGGCACGAGGGAAACATGGATGCAGTGAATGGGATTTTCAGTCTTTGATCACTTTGTGGTGGGTCTGATCTTCTCACCTCCCACCGCTTAGGAGCTGCATCTGCGCCTTGATCCAAGAGGGTGGTGGCGTTCCTGCGGATGCGGAAAACTGGGCCTTTGGCCGAGTCTCTAGCGAACCGTGAATTTTTTTACGCCTCTGATTATTAATTTGTTGACCCCGCCAGTCAAAGTGACTCGGATGTGGGAAATATGAAATATAGTCTGAACGTTTCCATCTAGCTGGTCTGCATGACGCCAAAAGAGGCAGTAAAATACACACAAATGCGTGGTTTCACCAGTTCACTTGCCGGTTGTGAACACAGCTTCTAGCACAATTTGCCATGATTTCTCCTATAGCATTGTTATCAGTAATATAATGGCCTACTGTGATGGGTACGAAAGGTCACAGGTCGTTGTTTAGAGCTCATCTGGCTGGACAAAGTGACCCCAAGACCTCAGGTCGGCAGAGAAATCACTGCCCCACCACCACTGCTGCGTCTCGGTACAGCCCCTGCTCAGTAGTTGTCACGTTTATCCTAGCCTCCGTACCATTGTCTTTCATTTTTTCTTATCGAGATGGGTATGTGAACATAGTAAAAATAAATATTAAAGCTTGAAAAAGACACTTCGCTCAGGTTACTTGACAAACTGTGCGAAGTTCGTGTGCATGCATGTTTTACTTCATGCATTTGTTCCTGGATGGAGATCATGGAGATCAATCAAACTCCTGGGTTCTCTATTGGGCTCAGCAGAAGATGTGGACATGAGAATCTCAAAAGAAAGCAAGGCGTTTTGTTCGATTTCTTGGAGACGGCATTCCTTTCAATCCCGACTGTGTATTTTTAACTGCCTCATAATGACGATCCTTCTATACAAGTGCGGATTGTGGACTCTGTCCAAATTGCTGAACGACAAACGGGACAAATGGCAACGGAGAAAGCTACGCGTACTGCTGCAGATTGTCTACCCGCAACGCATCACCAATAACAACTTATGCCCAGAAACAAAACAATCTCCAGTTAGTGGCACATGCCGGCGAAGCAGGCTGCTGTGGTTTGGCTATGTGGTGAGAGAGGGTCCAGAATCCGCCTCGTTCCAAGCACTGGAGCTATCAATCAACACAAACG